ATTTTAATTAAAAATAAACCTTATGTAAATTATTTTACTATACATGTAACTTGAGTTTTAAAATGATTTGTAAGCTAAAAAAATTTATATCATCGCCAACAACTTTAATTTTGTTTTTTAATTTTTAAATTTAATTTCAACTTTTAAATAACTTTTTAAACTAAAAAAACTAACATATCTATCTATCATTTTCTTTAATTTATATCCCAGCCCAATGCTAGGCGTTATTCAAATCAGGCCCACAATTAATACTCATGTTAATTTTAATAAGAATTTTCACAATTTTTTTAATTTATCTTGTAATCCTAGGAATGAAAAAAATGTCGCGGAGAGTCACGCTGAAACTAGACTAATTAAATAATCGATAAATCGGTGAATATATTTTAAAATTGGCCAAAATAAAGTTCAAAGTTTAATTTAAGAAAGTAAATAAAAAAGAAGACCTTTTTAAGAAAAAGATCATTATAAATGAAGCCTAACAACACATGAATTAAAATAAAAAAATTCCGATATAAAAATAGAAACAAACAGATAAATGCATTCTGCAATTTAAATTAACCACTGATAAGTAGTTAACTAAACCAAATATTTTTCAATGGAAACTAATACAAAAAAAAATGTTATAGTTTAATGAGTGTATTACATCTTCTCTTAAAGTAGATGTGAATTTTTTTCCCAAACGCAAAACTATCAAGATAGAAGGATATATGACAGCCCTACTGATACATTCTCACGAAAAGAGAGTTCAAAACAAGAAAAATAGGATAGAAAGATATAAAGAATTAGGACAACTTTTAAATGTAACAGAAAAGAAGAAGAAGAATAATCGGTAATGAACAAATCAGCGTTTTATCTTATTCGGTTTGAAAAAAGGAATTAAACTGTTATAAACAGGTATCTCAATATTTTTTTTAATACGTGGTTAAACTAGTAAACTTGTATTTATCTTCAAGTAATTTTAAATTATAGCCTAATTAAAAGAAAAGAAAATTTCTTTTCTTTTAATTAGGTTAAAAAATTAGTGTGACCAAGTTTAATGTAGTTTGACTTCATTAGAAGAGAGATACTAGAAATGATCCCGTGTTTAGATCTGGATCCCGTTTTTCCTTTCCTTATTCAATTTCAGAGACCATACGATAATAATCTGCCGATGTTATTCCTTGCAGCATTTGGTACATGGAATTCAACCATTACTGCTTTTCGATTTCATTAATTAGTCACATCACATGACAAGTTGATAGATGATCTTAGAGTTCCCATAACTCACATGTTTTGGATATTAGGGATAAAAAATGAAGCTAATAAATCTTGATGTATGGTAGTTTCAGTAGTCGGTGGTAATCCTTGAATTGTCTTCGATATCGGTCTTCGGTGTGCCAGTCAGACATTGGTTTCTATGCTCTGGGTGGTCACGCTTCCAAAGTCTTTTGAAATTAATGGATTTCATTTCAATCTCATGATTGACAATACATTTTTATTTTTATTTTTTTACAAAGTGAAAATTAAACACATAATCAAATATAATCTACCTGAATTTCATACCATTAGATCAATCTGAATGACTTGTTACCAATAAACTTTTGAACGACAGAGGAATGTTGTTTCTAATGGGATATGATTAACTTTTGATAATTATTATGGTAGATATAAGTAAAAGAATTGATACATTTAATATGATAAATTTGGATTGACATATGGTATTACATCCATTTATTTTTGGTATTAATCCCTCATAAATGAGGTGCCCAACTATAAGGAATAAAATTTGTAATATATTTAAATATTTCATTTTTAAAAAAAAAGAAATTACCCATCAAAATTTTCCATTACCAAAAATCTATCCTTCAGAAGTGAATGCAACGAAATAATCGGGACCACTTGGATAGGTTTCCTTCTTGATCTTCCTGTTAAGAGCAAATAATAGCATTGGTGAGAACTGAGATCTGAGAAAACCCGCCCTAATGTATGCAAAAAATAAATAAAAAATTGGAGGGAAGTTATAAATGTTAATTTAATTTTGATTCAATAATTATAAAAAAAATTATGACAAAAATACATGATAAATATAATCTTTCCCTAAAAAATGAGTAAAGTTTACTTGATTAGATAAATGAAAATGTCCTGATTAACCCACAGTGTCGTCGTTTCATCAAAAGGCCCGTGATTTCCACGAAAAAGAATACCTCATTTCTTCTTGCTTCAATATTCATATATGGGTTTTATAATTCTCATTTAATATGAGAATTTGAATTTTCCTACACACTTCGATTTTCGTGCCAACGTGGATCCTACACATAATTTTTTCTAACATACGGATCCCACATACTTTTTGTCTCTACAACATGTGAATTCTCATGTTAAATGAAAAATATAAAACCCTTCGAATATAGATCAAAATTGTTTTTGGTCATAGGATGTTGCCTATCAGACCACTAATCATGTTTGGCCTGAAAGATGCTAAACTTTTAAAGGTCCTCGTTACATCTTTTTGATACATTATAATTAGGACAAATTACATTAAATCACACTCAATTTAGGTAATATCACCTTGTACTTTCAATTAAATCAATTTATCCCCTCACACTGTCAAGTCAGAATAATTAAATATGTTTAATATTTTTTCAAAAAAGAGAATCTGAAATAGCGATAAAACTACATATAAATCTGTCATAAATCCACGATCGCTAGTTTGTTTTAATTAAAGGAAAAAATGTTTCTGCACTCACTGCAGATAAGTTATCTGTATTTTTTTCAAAACGACGTCGTTTTGGTATTGAAATCTTAAAAAATTATAAATATAAAGACTATTACAACCTTAAAATAAATTAAAATTATATAAATATCATTATTTTTGTCCCAAAATAATATCGTATTGAACTTAATGTAAATAACTTATAGTAAATGTAAGAAAAACGAATCCTTAATTAAATTGATATACTTAATTTTGCACAAAAAAAACTCTTTTATCAAATCTCAACCCATTGACAATTACCGCTGTCGCCCCGCTGCATTTGGTGCCCACTTGTCAGTAAAGTAAAATCCATTTTACGATGTTATCAAAAAAAAATAAAAAAAATCCATTTTACGTTTGTATTTAATATTTAAAAAATGTTTATTGATTTTTGAACAGCTTCTTTATATTGTAAAATGATTTTTTTAATCTCAAAAGTCAAAACCCATCTTAAAAAAGAAGTAAAACATCTACTTGTTTTAGTCCTTTATCTTCTTTGGGCCACTAATCCTGAAACTTCAATTACAAATACTAAGGGGGTATTTGGTACGCGGCATTTGGCCGGATTCCTGGGAAACTGAATTTTTCTAAATTTTAAATTTTTGAATATTATCGTAAACTGAATGTAAAAATCATATTTTTGAAAATTGAGATTCTCGGACAAATAAAAATTTCTCCTGTACCAAACGCTCCCTAAATGGCGATATGGGCCAGTTGTGTTCATTTGGACTAAGGGTAAAGAATATTTGAATTAATAAATGACTAATCCTAATCAGACTTTATATTTGCTTATTCGATTAACTCATTGGTTTGTATTTTCAATTTATTTATATAATTAAAGTTTAAAAATATTAATTTAAAATGATATATTTAATTAAATTGTATTAAAATTAAAATTAAATTGTATTAAATTATTTAAAATTAATTGTTACTTGAAACTAATAAATGTTTATTTTAAAATAGTATTTCAGAGAACTTAAAAAATAATATTCATAATAATTAATTATGATCGTTTTGAAGTTATAAATTGATCTATTAGCTGAGTTGAGTTGGGTTAAAGTTATTTTTTATTTCAATTTTGTCTACCCAATTCACATATTTTGTTAAATCATTTTGGCTAGTCAGTCGGGTTTGTTTCATTTTAACACTTCTTTTATATGTAATAAATATTAATTGATATATATATATATATTTTGTTTAATGCCTTTTTCTCAATGTGGTATAAGGCTTTATTTGAAGTAAATGAGATTTTTAAAACGTGTTTCCTTATCAGATATTTGAATAAAAAATTTATTTATCTGAATACAATACTCTTTTTTTTAATACATGTGAATACAATACTCTTAAATATGAATATATTGATATATAATTTTTTTTAAAATAAAGTAATATTTTTTTAAGCAAACACAAAATCAGCCTTCAAATTGTGATTTATAATTTAACTTTTTCATTTTTTTCATTAAAATCATGATTTTTAACTTATGAATAAATGATTCAATCTTTCACATGAAAGAATGATAAAAGAAAGAGAAGAATTATATTGATAAATTATTTTGTTTACAAACTTACAAACTACATTATATTTTAGAGAGAGGTTATAGTTACTACCTTCTTTTCTTAGTACTTGTTACTACAAATCTTAACCGTTGATTTTCGTCAATTTAACAGTTATAATTTATTAGAATTAATAATTAATTAATAGGTGTGTGACCCAATAAATTATAACCGTTAGATTGACGGAAATCAACGGTTAAGATTTGGTACTAACAAGTAGTAAGAAAAAAAGGTAGTAATTATAACCTTTCTCTATATTTTATCGGTAAAATTATTCTAAAAAATATCTTATCAATTAGATATAAAAGGTATAATGTAATTTATAAACAAAAAATTTATAAATATAAAATTTTTCTGAAAAAAAAAAAAATGAAAAAATCTATCCTTAATCACGTTTTGCACCTCTTTCTCAATCCGTCACGTGTCATTCTAACCCCAAATATGGTAAAATATGTTTTTCGCGACTTTAAAGCAGTAATTTTATTCTATTTCTCTTTGACTCACGGGTCAATTAGCCGCCTATAGGAGGTCCCATTTACTTAATATTTGGGGCCTTTTGGAGATTAATTCAAAAATATGAGGCAGAGACAAGACATCTGGACAACTCCTTTCTACTCAAAGATGTCACAAAAAGCCATATCCTCACATCACAGTTGACAATTTTTTGGTATAATTCTCTTCTCCCTTTCCAATGCTTTCAGACAAATCTACAAAAATGAACAAAAAGTTCCTCTTCTTTGTCCTCAAGCCCCTGATTCATTCATACATCTTCCTCTTCTATATCCAAATCAGAACCACCTCGTGTTCTCCGGATCCTAAGTTCGAAACATGTCAACCCAAAACCTGCGGCAACAACCTAACTATAAGCTACCCGTTCTACATCCTAGGAATACAAGAACCCTTTTGTGGGTACCCAGGTTTCGGTCTCTCTTGTGCCAAAAATGGTTTTCCAATCCTCAATCTGTCTAATACCCAATACATCATCGATCAAATATTCTACGACAATCGGTCACTACGAGTGTCCAATGCTGTATTTTCAATTTCAACATCAAACACCACCAAAGGTTGTCTTCCTCCCACCCAGAACCTCACACTTGCCAATAACGTGTTCCATCTTGCTCCGAACCAAAAGGACATGATATTGTTCTTCGGCTGTGACTTACAATCGCTGCCCACAGGGCTGCAAGAGCACAGAATCGGTTGTTCTGCAGAAAACGAAACGAGTTCGGTTGTGGCATTGTATAAGGATGATAAAAATCTAAGCTTTGCATCAGAAAATTGCAAGGGTGAGGTGGTGGATGCGATAGTGGAAGATGGGTATGGAGGGATTGAAGAGGCGCTGAGAAAAGGGTTCTGGTTGAATTGGACGGCCAGTGATTGCAGCTTGTGCAGAAGCACTGGAGGGAGGTGCGGCTTTGATTCTGATATATACACTTTCAGGTGCTACTGCACTGACAGAGTTCATGCTTCCGATTGTGGTCCAGGTTAGCCTCTCTTCTCTCTTGCGATGGCTCTGTACCATTTTACAACTTTTTTCAGTTTTCAAGTTTATGATGAATAGAGATTCATAGATAAGAGACTACAGAACCCATTTGATTTCACCCACCACCATCATTCATGGTTTACTTGCTTTAATTATAACCCTCTTTAACATCCATAAAACAATAGTGTTACAAAACTAATGTTATTACAACTGTGCAGAGCTGTATGCGTGATTATCTCTAAATTTAAGTGGTTTCTAATTAGTTGTTATTAAAATCATATGGAACAAGCAATTGGTTACTCAAACTTTATAATTGCAACGGCTGTGTTAGAAGCATTAATTTATAATAACATATAAAGATGTTAGAAGAATTAATTTAAAACTATCTAGCTGATATTCTAGGTGCTTTATTTATTCATGGCTATGTTTCTAGCTTTCCAATGTACGAAAAAAGGTTGAATAGAGACTATACGGTATTTCAATGTCACATTTACTCAACAAAAAACTCAATATCACAGTTCTGTTATTTCACTAAGCATAATTATGCTTATGTATTATTACACTAAGTTTGGAAACTTTTTCTAATTAATGATTGTGATGAACATAAGTTTAAGAACGAAATAAGGCAAAAGAAAGAAATACATACACAAACAGCATGATTGGTTGATGGGTTTACCTGTGTTCGATTCCCTTTATCCCATCCACTGTAAAAAATTAGCTATCATGTAAGGATACACAGCACACACTTGCTCCAAGGATAGTAAGACCCAGATTTAAATTCCTTGTTGACAAATGTTGAGATATATAGTCTCACATTGATTGCATAGACAATTAATATGATCTTTATAAGGCCTTGGGCACTCTCACTCCTTGAACTAGCTTTTGGGGTGGTGACCTCAAGGTTCTTAACATGGTATCAAAGCCTCACCGTCCCCCGTTTTAAAAAGTGAAAATAAAATAAAATAAAAAAGCACAAAAAGGTAAACCAAAAATGGGCCTGTGCAATTTTCACCCTTCTAGCCTAAAGGGCTATTGCGTGAGGGGGCGTGTTGAGATATATAGTCCCACATTGATTGGATGGGCTGTGCAACTAATATGGCCTTTATAAGGCCTTGGGCACTCTCACCCCTTGAGCTAGCTTTTGGGGTGGTGACCTCAAGGTTCTTAACATGGTATCAAAGCCTCACCGTCCCCCGCTTTAAAAAGTGGAAATAAAATAAAATAAAAAAAGCACAGAAAGGTAAACCAAAAATGGGCCTGTGCAATTTTCACGCTTCTAGCCTAAAGGGCTCTTGCGTGAGGGGGCGTGTTGAGATATATAGTTCCACATTGATTGGATGGGCTGTGCAACTAATATGGCCTTTATAAGGCCTTGGGCACTCTCACCCCTTGAGCTAGCTTTTGGGGTGGTGACCTCAAGGTTCTTAACATGGTATCAAAGCCTCACCGTCCCCCGCTTTAAAAAGTGGAAATAAAATAAAATAAAAAAAGCACAGAAAGGTAAACCAAAAATGGGCCTGTGCAATTTTCACGCTTCTAGCCTAAAGGGCTCTTGCGTGAGGGGGCGTGTTGAGATATATAGTCCCACATTGATTGGATGGACAACTAATATGGCCTTGGGCACTCCCACCCCTTGAGCTAGCTTTTGGGGTGGTGACCTCAAGGTTCTTTACAACAAAAGATAGAGTGGGAGTAAATGCCAGTATATTTGTAGAAAGTAATTATTTTATTAAAGGGTTAGGGTAAGTGAAATATAATATAAACCATTATTTGACCTTCACTTAATTAATATTGTGAAGTTTGAAATATGTACATTATCTATCCTCCAAGTCTAATAAATAGACTTTTGTGCAAGGGAACATGTTAAGAAAATATAATATAAAATTATTAATTGATCTCCACCTAATCATTAAAATTTTTGGGTTAAATAATTTAACATTAGAAAACTTGTAGTATTGCAGATTTTTAACTTTTTTTATTAATTACAATAATCTTGTTAATCAAAACTAGTACTACTATATTTTTAAATTAATTTTAGTGTCATAGATTTACGGTATTGAAATAAATAACTCGCACTTGTATTATTGCAAGTCGTTGATTAAGAACCAGAGTTTGAATATTTCAAACATCTAGTTCTATTTTCTGTTTTGAAATCCATGATTGTTACATTATCAATATTTTAGTGTGGTATTCAATTTTCATATATCCTCTCTAGGTTCTTTATTACATGTTTTAATGCACATATATTTTATTATTTTTGACCAGCAACGATTTTCGTAGGAAGCCTTCGATGTTGACGTGACTATTATTGGAATTCAGAAAAATATATTTTAACATTTTAGAAAAATGATTGTTTACAATATTCAGGCTGTTATCCCTTTAAAAACATGAATTATTTAAAATAATTGCTTTTAAGAATTTGAAGACGATAACATTTTGTATCTCCTCGAATATAATGAACCCAATTTTTAAAAACCCCCACACAATCAACACAAAAACAAACAAAAAAGAAATTAGGATCTATTGGCCCTAACCTAACAATATGTCGATACTGTAATAACAATTCTCCAAATATAATTAAACAGAAAATTTAATCACAGATAAATATTATTTTTTGAATCATATACTATCGGAAATCATCGAAAGTTTGAAGTAGTCAACCTTGGACTAATCCATAATCAATTTTTTCCATTTTTGAAAAAACTAATAATAGATTTTTTTTTGGTATTAACTAATAATAAATATTACATAATTCAACTGTTGAATTTCCATGAAAAATATATTTGTACTTGGGACATGTTTGGATTGACTTTTTGTCCTTTTCAAGGAATTTATTAAATTCAAAATAAAGTATTTTTTATTTTATGTGTGCATTTGGACGTAGCTTTTGATAAAACCAAAAGTCCGCAAAAAAGTTAAAAAGTTTATTTTTTTTGGGAAGCCAAAAATTTAAGACTATTTAAAAAATAAAAAATATTGCTTTTTACTTAAAAGTAATTTTGGATATTAATCCAATTGTAAGAAATAGCTCTGATTTTTGAAAATATAATACATACTTTTTTTAAAAGCCATCCAAAATCAAATACATAATGTATTTCGTGTGACAATAGTGCATTAGCAGTGTATGCGTCAGATTTTTTAAAAAAAAATAGTAGTGCATATTTCGTATAGGGCAAGGATCTAATTAAGGTTATAATCAAAATTAAAAAAATGAGCTCTCTCTCAAGAAGATATTTTGAACTCTCCCTCTTAGTTTCCTATAAATTCACGATCTTAGTGTTTATTCATAAATATCATATGAAAATCTAATATTTAAAGGGAAATCGCCAAAGATGTGATTTCTATTATCATTTTTTGGGTACAGATTTCCATTAATAATTTTATTTGTGAATAAGTAAACATTAAAAATGGTTTTCTAAAAGTACATGGATGACAAATTCATATTTCAAAGATTTTAAACATTATTTGGTCATTTAAATTAAACATCAATTTAAAGACTAAAATTAATGTGAAAAGATATATTAGGAGTTTAAATTGATATTCATTTTAAATATTAAAAAATTTAAATTAATATTTAAAACTTTTGGAGAGCCAACTTAATATCCATGTGTGTTTGGAGGACTAATTTAATTGTTTACTCTTTATGAATATAATATTCAGTAAGATTTATTGGTGGTGTTAAGTTTATGAAGTCTTATGTTGGAGTAAAAGTTTTTATTGTCCACTTTTATTATCGACATAAAAAGATTTAATATGGAAAAAAGAGGAAGTTTTCACAGGTTCTTCCAATCTAAATCAGAATCTAAATGTCTTTGATTGATGGCTAGTTATGTGATTATATTTTATCAAAATCTAACAAAAAAATAAAATACATAATTTATTATCCACGAGTTCTTGTACTTTATAAAAATCTAAACTGTTAAATTTTTAATTAACAATTACTATCAATTATTAAGTTTTGCTAACAAGTTTCTTAAAGACACTGGTTAAAAATCATTTAATATTTCTTATTGAATTTTCCTAATTATTTAAAAATAAAATAAGAGAACTTTTTTTACCAAAAAAAATAAAATAATAATAGAACTTTTTAGAGTTTTCAATGTATCAAAATTTATTCTTTTTATTTAATACTGACTGTTATTAATTCCTTAATCATTGCTGTTAGGACACTTGTTAGTAAAATCCTTAACTAATTAAGTATTTTACTATCTAAGCTAAACCTAAAAGTTTAGGGATATTTATGTTTATTTTGCTTTGATTGTTTGCAGTTTGCGTGTTGGTGTTTTTAGCGTTTCAAACGACTTTTAATGTAATTACTCTATGTTGACTATAAAAAATATCAGGAGAAAGATCATAGTCGAAAGAAATCGATGATCAATATTTTAATTTTCAGAAAGGAAGCCTGCTTAGAATTTAGGTCCAAAGTTAAAGCATTTATTTGCACTATCCCTATACTCCCTTTCCCCGTCTGATTGCAGATGTTTGGACGTATAGAAAGTAACGTGTTTCTTATGAGAACATGGGTGTGGGGAGATGATACTTAACCGTCGCGTGCAGAAACACTTGAGGTTGGGAGTGGATCTTCTCATGTGTTAATTAACATGACTATGTCATGTGAGAGAATCATAATCATATAAAGGGGTGGATTAATAGTAATAGTTAATATGACCATGTCACGTGAGAGACTTATAATCATATAACATGACCATTCAGAAATCTAATGGTTACTGATGCATCCCATGGTGTTTGCGACTCTGGTCCCAAGGTAGATCCTGATTACTTCGAGTCTCTCTTGGGCCCAATTTCTAAGCAGGAAGTTTGGAATATTATTGCTGGAATGGACAACAATAAATCTCCAGGCCCTGATGATTTTAGTGCTCTCTTTTTCAAAAAGACTTAGAACATCATTGGGGATGATATTTTTTGAAGCTGTCAATAAATTCTTTTCATCGGGTAAGCTTCTTAGGCAAGTAAACCATGCTCTTCTTCTTGCTCTCATTC